TTTAAGATCTTTGGGGGTCTTTTAATGTACTTTCTGAGGTCTCAACTATTAGTGATCACGAGTTACATGACTTTTATTTTGGTTTTGTTTTAAATTTAGGAATGACATTAGGAGTCAGGATTACTTTATGCAATTTTTCTTAATTAAACTTGGCAATTTGGTAGTCTCATTACATATGGGCTTGTTTTAAATGCTCATTGAATTGAGGGTACATAGTTCAAACTCCTAAATATAATTGTTGATTTGCCATAGGTGACATGATATAACTAAATGTATTATTCATTAAAAATGATATATTGATTATCTCTAGAATAATACCTGATGTAGCTGACCTAAAGATCAAAAGAGAAAAAATTTGTAGACAAGACACAAGTTTCATGAAAAAGGTAAGATTCTCCTCTAAAAAATAATGTATGCCATAAATTCTAGCCATTTGAATTGTTAGGTAGCTTTCTTTTGATATATGACCTTGAAATGAAGCCATACTTCATTAGTACACTTAGATTGGTTTGGTTGAGGGGGAAACCTCTGTGAATCCCTGGGGTGTTTCTGTAACCTCTCCCCTGTATGTAGGCTTTCGACTTGCCCTTGGGGACTTCATGCCAGGGTATAGCAGAACCTACAGATGCTCTGCCCTGGGCGAGCCATAGGACGTTTTCCCTCACCCTGATGTTCTTTATCACGGCCAAGTCTCCCGTTGTCCTGCCACCCATTTTAATTTTTTCTCTTGTCGATCTATAACTTGCTTTTGTCTTTTCAAATTATCACTAAAAACATTTCATTGTTGACACTAGACCTATTACTTGCTGTTTTTATATAAGGTTTTGTTCTTCACTCTCGTGTTAATTTGTAGTTGTATATTGGTATATTTGTTGATGTTAATAGTTGGAATACAATTTGACCATCTGATTATCAACTTAAATTTCTCTTCCATGGTAAGTTATATAATTAAGATAGCTACTTTGTAAGAGGGTATATGCATGTGAAATCTGCCTGTACTACATTTGAAGCAAAATTATCTT